GAGCAGCTCTGACACTGGCTGAAAAAGGACCTTTCTGAATCACTGCCAAGAAGGCGGCGGGAATGGGGGGACTCTTCCTTCCAGCCACCCGCACTGGCCCCCCTGCCTCCCCATACACAAGGCCCCCTGTCTCTGGCTTCCACCCCAGCCCCCATAGTTGCAGACAACTCCTGGGATTTTAGGGTGGGGGCTATGTGAATCAAGCAGCAATGTACAGAGAATGGTTGCAGGCTCCCATATGGGCTTATCTGGGGCCTGGGAGCTGGTACATAGCCTGAGTTAGGGGCTAGGACCCCAGAGTCATTCCTGGATCCTGCAGGCAGACCCTTCGGAGACCCTCCCCCATCTCCCAGTCCCAGCCTTGGCTGGGCGTCTCCTGGCTCAGGCCCTAATGTGGCCCTGTTACCCTGGTGCCCGACGGAAATAGGAGGCCGGCAGCCTGCCAGAGCGGGGCAGTCCAGCCAAGATCGAGAGGGGGTGGAGGGGGTAAGGAATCTCCACCTCCTCCCCTGGGGTTGCCTTGTCTGCTGCCCACAACACCCAGGGTACCTCCTCCCCAGACCAGCTGGCCAAGATCCAAAGCCCCCTCAAAACAAACAAACATGCTCCTAGACCGGGCTGGGATTCCCCCCACCCCAAGCTGTAGCATTCAAGGCTGTATGATGTGTCTTGTATAGCACCCATACACACAGACAACAGCCCCAGCTAAAGGGAACTAGAGACACTCCATCAAGCCCCCATGGGCCCCCCATGTTCCTGGAGCTGACAAATGATCCCTCTGCCCCTCCTCAAGAGAGCCAGCTGCTCTTACACCCCCCTCACCACAGCCCCCAGACACACCTGACAGCTGCAGGAAGTCCTCGCCGGCTCCCTCAGCACCCCCACCCCATCCCCCCACCATGCCCAGGGAGCCCCTGTTTCTTTCACACTGCTCTCTTGTCCTGATCCAGCTGGCGACCAGCACTGAGAGCCCCAGCTGGCTAGTGGGCAGGCAGCTGGGGTGAGTTTGGGGGAGTCAGCATCCCAGGCTCTCTTTCCAAGGCCTCTCTCAGTGTTTGGAGAGGAGGTACCCAAAGGGACAGCCATTTCCTGGCCTGAGCCCTGATTGGGGGGGGGGGTGAAAGGGGGAGGTGAGCACACCCCAGCAATCAGTCCTTCTTCCCCATCCCCCCGTCAACCACCCCAAAGCTTGTGGAGCCAGCCAGATGCAGCCTCCCCTCTGTCCCAGTGAATCACCTGTCTGAGGCTGGGATCACAGATAATGGACAAGACCAGGCAGAGGTCACATTGGAGCGGACTCTTCCCCAAACCCTGGCAGGAAATGTCCACAGCTCAGAAAGGAACGCCCACGGCCTACCTCCCACCAGCATCACTCTGAAGGAGACCCAGGGACCTGATCCCGGGAGACAATGTAAGCAGGATTACTTCCTCAGCTCCCAGACGGGGCTGCTGGGTGAGAGTGGCCAGATGAAAAACCCTAGGCACCCCCTGAAAGATGTGCCCCAAATGCACCAGAACCCCATGCCTGACTCTCCCTCGGACACAAGGTAAGAACAAGCCTCAACAGCTTGCTCGGCAATCCAGCTGTGAGAAGCTGTAAGAAAAGAAAAGCATGGTCAGGGGTCTGAGCTCAGGCCAGGTCTGGGACCGCTTGCTCCCAGTCCTGGAAAACAGCTCCCACCTTCTGGCCCACCTTTGTCCTGTCAGCTACTGCCCTCTGCCGGCCAAGAGAGAAAGTGCTGGATCTCCAAGGAGAAGGAGCAGTGGTCCCATAAATATGGATGGTGACCTTACTTTCTAAAGCAAACAGGGACGTTTGGCTTGATACGCATATTTGCACGGAATGTCCATGGGAATGTCCAGGGCACAGGGATGCAGTGCCCGTAAACGACTAAACCCAAAAGCAAGCCCAAAGGGCAGCTGAACTGAGACCCAGAGACACTGAGGCCAATGCCAGTACCAGTAATTCATCACTACTGACTCACCCCGCCCCACAACTCCCCACAGCAACACCAATGCTTCACCCAGCCTCCCGGGAGCGTAGACACCCCTCACTCCTGGCTGCAGTGCGCAGGGCCGGGCCCTCCGCTCACCAGCAGATGATGGGGCGAGGGCCCGGGCACCTGACTGTCCCCCAGGCTTCCCCCATTACCTGCAGGACCTCCGAGCCCCCAGTCAGGCGCTGATATGCAGATCTCTCCCCCATGGAACCCAAACTGCCCGCGTTAAGGCCAGGAGGGGAGCAGCGCCCTCCCGCAGCCCCCGCCCCGCCAGCGGCA